AAGAAGAAGAAGAAGAAGAAGAAGAAGAAAATACAACAGGGAGTGAGTGAGGGAAGTTGGTTGTACACGCTGTACACATTTTCTCACACGGCTCTCTACTACTAGGGTAGGAGCCCATTCGCCGAGGGGTAGGGATGAGGCAAGGGGTACTTTTGAAATAAAACACAGAAAGAAGAGGAGATGGCAAGGAAATGTACAACGGAAACTACCGTCTTCCACCGAATAGAACGCCCGGTAATTATTGCCGCATCTGGACTGACAGTTGGATCAAATACAGCCAAAATGACCGGGAGTTCTATTCACGTGAAGACGGTCATTTTCCCCGCGTTTTCCGGTGCATACACGCAATCCATGAGGGGCGTTTGGAAAAAAGAGATGGGAGCAAGAAGGGAGTGAGAAGGGAGCGAGGAAGACAGACCAGCAAAGCCATTCGTGGGCAAACCAACTGATCGGGATTCACAAAGAGCAGGTGAATCCCTGGTGAATCCCGATGGTGACACGTGGCGTATATACAGCATACAGCATATAATTATGGACATTTTTACTATATTCACAAAGAAAAACTGGAACAGACAACAGAGAACGCGAGGGGCATTTCGAAAAAAGAGATGGTAGCGAGAAGGGAGCGAGAAGGGAGCGAGGAAGACAGACCAGCAAAGCCATTCGTGGCAAACTAACTGATCGGGATTCACAAAGAGCAGGTGAATCCCGATGGTGACACGTGGCGTATATACAGCATACAGCATATAATTATGGACATTTCTACTATAATCACCCAAAAAAAACTGGAACATACAACAACAGAGAACGCCAGCTTCGTTTGAGGGCGACCGACCGGTTCGTCCGTGTACACTGCTCTGTGCTTGTGTTACTCCTTTGGGCATATCTAATTTTCACGTTCCCTGGCCACAATTTCGTTTTCTCTTTTTTTTTTCTTTTTTTTTCCTGGCCGCAATTTCGCCGTTTTTTTGGACCGAAATCGCCAGGGCTTACCGGGGGCCAAGTCCCACTCACCCGAATTCTCAAAATCTGACCGTAGATTCGGAAGATCAACGGCCAGAAATGAAGAATCAGCGTCAGTGGGACGTGGCCCCGGGTCCCCGCCAGCCGGACATGACGATTTCGATTCAGATAACGTCGAAATTGAGGCCAGGAACGTCAACGTTAAATGCCCAAAGGGGTATTACTGTAAAAAGTGGAACGGAAAACAGAGAACGCCTGCTTCGTTTGAGGACGACTGGTGCGTCAGCGTGTACCCTGCTCTCTGTGCTTGTGTGCTGTGCCTCCCAAACGCAATCCTGACAGATAGATAGCCTTTTCGGTGGGTGGGTGGGTGGGTGTTTCACTGTAAAAAATGCACGTTTCCATTCCCGTACTTTCCCTCTCCGTTTTCTGTTTTCTTTTTTTTCTTTTCTTTTCTTAAGCTGTCTTCTCCTCGTCGGAGCGCAAAGGCGAAAAAAGACAAAACAAAAAAGGAAAGAAGGAAAGCTCCGCCTGTTCATCTGTTCAGCCCCATCCCACCGTGTATCGGAGCGCAAAGGCGAAACAAGGCCGGCCACGTGGATGACAGGTTGAGCGCCGGCTGGCCCCATCCCCGTGTGTCACAAGGACCCACTTGCCCGCAGCCAAAAGACAAAGAGGTAAAGAAAAGGAGGAAACCGAACTCACAGAGGCAAGAGAAAGAGAAAGGGATCCAATCAAAGAACGGACAAGGAAAGAGGAAGAAGGCCTATCAGTCAAACAAAGCAAATGACACACCCCGTCTTTTTTTTTTCTTCGGCAAATCGTTCATTCTCTTTCTTCTTCTTCTTCTTCTTCTTCTTCTTCTTCTTCTTCTTCTTCCCTTTCTTCTTCTTCTACATTCTCTTTCTTCTTCTCCTTCTTCTTCTTCTTCTTCTTCTTCCTCTTCTTCTACATTCTCTTTCTTCTTCTTCTTCTTCTTCTTCTTCTTCTTCGTCGTCGTCGTCGTCGTCGTCGTCGTCGTCGTCATCATCATTTTCTTCGCGTGTGTGACTACGCCGGTAGATAGAGGAACAATATATCTAGAGGGCAAGGCCGTCGGCCCTCTAATCTCAGACTGGTTGGAATGTTGGGTGGTGGTCCCGGAAGGCGGATCTGGCGAGAAGCCCCCTGAGGAGAGTGCCAGGAGGGCAGCATGGCCGAAACGCCGCGTCGGGGAATTTGCGCGTTTTCAACTGAGAACTGTACATGCGGGCGGAGAAGTATTGAAATATCTTGTCGATGCGTGTGCGAGAAGCAGTCTATGGCCACTGTTTTCACTCTTCTTCTTCTTCTTCTTCTTCTTCTTCTTCTTCTTCGTCCTTTTCTTCTTCTTCTTCTTCTTCTTCTTCTTCTTCTTCTTCTGCCCCCTCTCGACGTCGTGTTGATGCTAATCTGCCGGGTTCTTTGTCTTACTGACAGCCTGCTCTGGCACGTCGATCGTCACACACACCGTGTATCGGATCGGACCTCGCATATTTTAACTGGCGTTCTGCCATGTCATGCCATTTTACTTCTTTTTTTTTTTTTAAGTTTGCCATTTTACTATTTTATTTTATTCACAGAGGAGCTTTTCACTACAGAGAGCTGTAGTGTGCCAGTGTGTTATTCCTCCTTCCCTTTTCTTTTCCCAGTCAAGTTTCGCACTTGCCCCTCTGCCGTGTGTCTCGGGAATGCGTTCTCGATTCGATTTTTAGAACTCGCAATTTTCTCAGTGTCTGCCTTTCCTTGCCGGTTCTTTCCCGCGCTAAATTCCGCTTCCTTGCCCTTGCTTTCCCGCGCTGAATTGCGCTTCCTTTCCCTTTCTTTCCCGCGCTAAATTCCGCTTCCTTGCCCTTGCTTTCGCGCGCTAAATTCCGCTTCCTTGCCCTTGCTTTCCCGCGCGCTACATTCCGCTTCCTTGCCCTTTCTTTCCCGCGCTAAATTTCGCTTGCTTGCCATTTCTTTCCCGCGCTAAATTTCGCTTGCTTGCCATTTCTTTCCCGCGCTAAATTTCGCTTGCTTGCCCTTTCCTTGTGCTGTTGAATACATAGGCCATCGCCGCACCACCATTCACAAATATGAAAACGACAAAAGCTATGGATAAAAAAAAAAAGAAAACAAAAAAAAGCTATGGATATGGCAAGTATAGCTTGTCCGTGTCCGCGTTCTCGCAAAAGATAGACACATGCATTCTCAGCTTTGCACACTTGGTGGGTACTGGGCCGGTGGCACATACCCATGTGACAATGAAACGAGACGATATACTGCCACCACCTAACCGTCAAAGAAGAGAATAGCGCATTAGCGCGGGAAAAAGAGCTCATTAGCGCGGGAAAAAGAGCGCATTAGCGCGGGAAAAAGAGCTCAACGTCATAGGAGGAGGCACAAAGCACGACGATGTTTGCTTCTCAGCAGCAGCAGCAGCTTCATTTGCACTGTTTCCCTGCTACTGTGATAAGATGTTTGCTTCTCAGCAGCAGCAGCAGCTTCATTTGCACTTGTTGTCTTTTCTCTGCTAATGTGATAACGTCCATGCATACCATGCGTTGATGTCCCATTACCTTTCCCCTCCACACCCCCCCCCTTTTCCACCTCCTCTCTGCTTTTGGCTCTCGCTACAGGGCGCCACGTGCTCACATTTTCTTTTTCGCGTATAGGCTCCTGGCTCCTGGTGGGAGGGATCCCATTCAATCCTGATTCTCCTCCTCCCCCCCCCCCTCCTCCTCTTATCATCCCTCTTCTCTGTCCCTCTTCTCTCTAAGTCTGCACACGATGAAATCCATAACAATCCACTCCGAGCCCACTGTTCAGACTCGATGAGAAAACAAGAAGACAAGGGAAGGGAGAGGCAGGGAACCGCACGCTCAACTGGGGGTGCATCGCAAAACTGAAGCCGGAGAAAACACAGAGACGGAGGAAGGAGACGCCTCAATCGATCGTTGGATAAATAGCACCCCTTGCTTTTCTTTTCCGCTCCTTTTTCTTTGACATTCTTTTTCATCCTTACCACCCCTTCTTCCATGTACATAGCGGTGGTGTCAAAATCACGCGAAGAAAAGAGTACAGGGAACTGGGGAACTGACTAACGTAGCACGCACACACACGCGCGCACGTTCCCCCACACCCACACATAGCCAGACGCTCTCTCTCGCGCACGTTCCCCCACACCCACACTTAGCCAAACGCTCTCTCTCTCTCTCTCTCTCTCTCTCTCTCTCTCTCTCTCTCTCTCTCTCTCTCTCTCTC